ACAAAAGACCACATTTGAAACGAACCTGGCATTAAGAAAACCAAAGGCTTATTATCCACACTACTAAGAAAAACATAAAAGCTACTAACATAAACGAAATCTAAGGTAAACAAATAAAGAAGTTAATGAAACTAACATCTACTAAAGATAGATTAAAAAAAAGCAGAATCATCCAATTATCACATTCGAGAGTATCCAAATATATCCAACGTATCAAATAAGCTCCCCNCATTTGGAACAGCGAGAGCATCCTGTGTAGATGGATCTGGGTGGGGCTGGGATGGGTAAAGCAAAATGTCAAATGGCAAATCTCCGGTTGTAGCTAACCGGGTCACCTCAGCTCGAAGCTTATCAACTGAATTCTTGCTGGACTGGGACTTTCTCATCTTCTTCACTTGCTTTGTCAACCTCTCGATCACAACACCAAATTGTACCAATGTATCCATAATTACCTTCTGGTTGTCCAAGATTTTGCTCAACTTCTCATCAATGTCAAAGAGATCTCGGGGTTCCTGTGTAGATGTCTGCCCTGCAACAACACTGGAAATCTCAGACATCTTTGAAGTAGCTACATGCATCCGGTTGTTGAGACTCGCCAATATCTGGGAGACTCGCAAAGCAGATAGTGGACCTGTAGGCATGGGCACCAGCCTCGGAGCTGAAGTAGGAACTTCAATAAGAGCTGAAGATGGTGCCTCGGTCATAGCAACTACTACACTGGTAGAAGGCTCAACTGATATGGATGGAATGTTAGATAGAGCAGAAACTACTACTACCGGCTCATCAGACTGGCCAGCAGTAGTAGAAGGCTTAACACTCTTCTTCGGGTTCCTCGGATCCTGCAGCTTGTAATCAACTAGCTTTTCCGTGAATAACATCCACCATTTCCTTTTTGTAAACTACTCCAGAACAACGGGATTGTACTTGTCAAGATCTTTAAGTAATAACTATCGCTCATGAGTTAAGGACCTACCAGGCCACAGGTTGCGAAGCGGTCGAGTTTGGGCGATATTAATTTTTGGGGCCGTTGCCGGGGTCGATTCCACAGGGAGCTTGATGTGGGATTAGGTATATACCTAGTATGAATGTATGACGTGCCTAAGATTACACTTCCATATTTTTAATTGTTGTTTCTACTTCTACTTTTACGCTAATGCTTGTAATTGTAAAGCTAGGAAATAATGTTTTTGGTTTTAGTTGTTTTTCAAGTTATAAAAGATTTAGGGTTACGACTTCCGCCTAGTTGGTTACCTAACGAATTTAGAGCTTTAGGGCATGTTTGGTTGATAGGGATACAATATAGAAATCACACGTAATTACTCACTCTATACCTCTCGGTAGTTTGAGTGATTTTGCCCAATTTGGCTTTCTCAAGTTCAAATGGGTATCTCACGAAACAAGTGATAAATGCTCAAGTCGGGTCTTACTATCCATAGATTCGACCCTTTAATTGAGGCTATCAATTTCTTGAGTTCATCCCAATTTCTTGTTAGCCAAGTTTTTCTAGACTTAGTCTCACTTTCTCAAGTATAGACTAAGTCAATTAGGCATGAATCAATGTTTGCAACCATCAATTCTCAAATTCAAGCAAGAACTAGGCTAAATATCATATACCCAATCATAAATAAGTCCTAAATCAATCACCCATTATGTACCCATACTAGGGTTGGGTGACAACCCTAGCTAAGGGTTTAACTACTCATGGAAAATGAAGAAATTAAAGAACAAACTAAGATAAAATGTATAATAATTGATTAAGGAAAGAAAATCTAATGTTTAAATGCTAAACTAGTACAAAGTTACCCAATACAGTAAATAAAAATGGATCTAAGTGTTCAGGTGCACAAAAACCTTTCTTAAAAATAACAAAAAGATCTATTTATACCTAGCTGAAAATATTTGACAAAATTGCCTCTGCGAAGATTGCGCGGCCGCATAATTCTGTGTGCGGTCCGCACTTTGAGACTGACTGGTTAGGTTGGCTTTCTGCAGTCGCATAAAAGTGAGATGCGGCCGCACTTCCCCTAATTGTGCAGACCGCACATTTCTGAGTGCAGCTGCACTCTTGCTTTTGGACTGTATTTGGGCTTCATTCTGCGGACCACACATTTATGAGTGCAGCCGCATTTTGGCATTATGTGGCCACACAATAATTGCGCGGTCCGCACTTTGTGAAGAAATTATATCAGTGCATCTTCAGAGTTTGCAGCCGCACACAGTATTGAACGGTCTGCACTATAGCCCTTTTTGCCTTATTTTGGTTCTTGTCCAATTTTACTCCTTTTTGAGTTAATTTTCACTTGTTTCGCTCGTTTTCCAATATTCCTGCAAGAAAGCACATTTCATTAGTTCTCGGGAATACGTTTAAGCATTTTTGAGCTAAAATGTAAGTAAAAGAGAGCAAATAAGCGGTCAAAATCCCTACTTATCAGCCACCACATTCAGAAATCAGAAAAATGCCTGGCGAATCACAAATCTATCTTCACAGTCCTCCTTCTTCTTTGACCTAGACAAACCTGCCTGTGCACCTGTACCCCGTCTCCCATCATCCAGGGCATCATCAGAATCAGAGCCTGTAGCAGCATTGGATTCCTGATTGGAACTCTCTGAACCCTGGAAGTGATGTGGGATGTAGAAGGCACATCCAAAGGCTCGGACTGCCTTTGTGGACTGGATTTCTCCTCAGTGTGCTCCTCCGGAACTGACACAAAATTTTCCTCGGAGGCTTCCCTAGATGGGGCATATTAGCTAAACTCGGAGAGGTCTCTGCCTCTTCCTCGGCCTGCTGTGGTTTTCTTTGATATAGCTTTCTGCACACTTGGGGGGCAAGGCACCTCTATCTCGACCCCTTGAAGCTTCTCCTCTTCCTTTGGTAGATTCACCTCGACCTCATGATCGTACCATTGTCTATATAAACATATAGAGAATTGTTAGTTCCAAATTATGATTCAACATAGTTAAGACTCATGTAAGTGTGTGAGAACAGCATAGAAGCAGTAAGGTATCAGTTGGTTAAACATGCAGAATAAATGGGTGACGTGCATTCTGAACAATTTGAAGTGCGGCCCGCATAATGGAAGTGTGGACCGCTCAATTCCAAGTACGGCCGCACTTCTACACAAATGTGCAAGAGGCTTAGCTGTTTCTTCTCTTAATGACAGTGCAAAGGTCATATGTGGTCGCAAAATTTATCTACAACCCGCACAATTTGAAGTGCGGTCCGCACTTTAGAAGCTCAGAGCGAAATCCTCTGATAGACAGTGCGGATCATTTGTGCGACCTCTCCAGAAATTCTGCGGTCCACACAATTAAAGTGCGGTCGCAGAAACACCATCTAACCAAAGTTGCCTTAACTAGAAGGTTGCTGACCGCACAATTCCAAGTGCGGTCCGCACATTTAAGAACACAATGGGCATGTCTTATTTTTACCTAAGTTATGCAAAAACTTGTTCAAAACTACATTGAAACATGGTATACATATATAAATAAGTTAACCCAACCCAATCTAGCATGTTTTATTAATTATCCAGTATAAAACTATCCCACACGGATACATTGAAGGAATATAATAACAAATGGCCTAAAAAGAAGTTAAAAATAAAAATTAAATTCAAAATGAAAATGAAAAAAATGAACATGGAATGAAGCATAACCGATGGTGTAAATGTGCAAAGTTCCTAGTGGGTGCAAATCAGGGGGATTTATGTGGAGGGGGTGGGCTACATGCACCCATGCTCCCCTCCCTAAGCTATGTAAAATAGTACTAATCTTTTCTATTATAAGCTAAATATATTTGTGGCCACTCATGCTCAAGTGACTCGTTTGGTGCACTGGTGATAAAAGCCCCTTTTGTTTTCTTCTTGTCCCACGGGTCATTGGTTTCAACCCCCATACAGTTTTGCTCAATTAATTTATTTTATAACTAATAAATAGTAATTAAATTCCCAATCCCCCATGACTTTTTTAAATAACAATAGATTCCTACGCCCTTTCCTTCTTTCAAATTAACAAACAAATACGCTTTTTTTTTACCTTTTTTGCATCATAGAGAATGGAAGGGTTAAGAGACGAGTGCGGTCGCATAATTTCAAGTGCGGGCTGCACTCTGCTACTTGGCCTTAGTGGTCTGTCACTCTTGCATGACACCTGAGTTTGCTCATGCAAGTGCATCTGCGGCCACTCAAAGTCTTCTGTGGTGGCAACCTTTTTCTAAACTTTTTGCACCTTCTCTGAACTTTTCAAACTTTGCTAGTGCGACCAGCTTTCAAAAATCCTTTGAGGCTTTACGAATTCTGCGGTCTGCGGATCACATAATCATCTGTGGCCGCAAAATTAAAAGATTTAAAGTAAAGATAGGGGTAATACAATTCGGACTCATATCAATTGCTTAGATTGCTACACATTTAGGCTTGAGAAAGCCGATTTGGGCACAACAACTCTATGACCAAGAGGTAATGAGTGGATACTTGAGAATTGAGAGTCATAATACACCTGAATCTACCAAACAAGCATTACCTTAGTATACCCATTAGGTTTATACCTAGGTAAAGGTTACACCCCTAGAATTTTTGTCAATTGTTTAAAAACACCACAAATATTTTGTTCGCTAACTGCTTTTACTTAGTCTAATTTCTTAGTTGCTAAATTAGATAACAATCACCCTCTTTGTTTGGAAGTATTATTAAGCTATTTCATGTTCTATTTTCAAGTATTTACCTTACTACCGATTGTAAACTCCCTGCAGAATTCGACTCCGACTCAAGTTGGGTATTATAATTGCAACGACAATTTCCCACTTATTATTGAGTATATATTGGACGTGATTAGGTCTAGGTTCCAAGGTCAGTAAAATAAAGTATGACTCCCGATTGGTGGTAAACCAAGTGTATGGGATTTTCAACACAAAGGAGGAGTGCATGCATCAGTATTTAAACAAGGTCCAAGTGTTACTTGCACGATTCAGATAATGGAAAATCGTCCATATTCCAAGGGAAGAAAATATGGAAGCAGACGCATTGTCTAATTTGGGGTCATCTAGGGAGATGAAAGGACCTGATTCTGGTATGGTCGTCCAACTGCTGCATTCAGTGTTAGATGTGGACGGTTATTGCGAAGTCAATTTGACCAACTTAATTTGGGACTGGAGGAATGAGTTCATTGAATATCTCAGGCATGGTAAATTACCCGACGACACAAAGGTGTCCCAGTCACCGCGAACCAAAGCAACTTGCTATTGCCTCATAGATGGGCAATTGTACAGGAGATCGTTCCAAGGACCACTAGCCCTGTGTCTAGGGGCCTGAGAGGCAGACTACGTGATGAGAGAAGTCCATGAAGGAGTTTGTGGAAATCATTCTAGTGTAGACTCATTAGTTCTAAAGTTGATCAGGGTAGGCTATTACAGGCCCCGAATGGAACAAGACGCAAAGGCATTCATACAGAAATGCAACAAATGTCAATGTCATGTGCAGTTAGTGCACCAACCAGTAGAGCTTTTGCATTCAGTGTTGTCTTCATGGTCATTCATGAAATGGAGAATGGACATAGTTGGACCTGTACTATCGGCCCTTGGAAAGGTAATATTTTTCTTGGTTTTAACTGATTATTTCACTCAATAGGTTGAAGCGGGTCCATACCAAAAGATTGTAGAACGCGAAGTAGTTGACTTTATATGGGACCACATAATCTGCCGATTTGGAATACCAAAGGAAATTGCATGTGACAACAGACCGCAGTTCATAGGTTCAAAAGTCACAAAGTTCTTGGAAGGATTAAAGATCAAAAGAATCACTTCTTCGCCGTACCACCCGAGTGCCAACGTACGGGCGGAATCAACCAACAAGGTAATTATTCAAAACCTTAAAAAGAAGTTAGAAGATGCCAAGGGCAAGTGGCCCGATGAGCTATCGGGTGTGCTATGGGCATATCGGACAATGACGAAGTCAAGCACGAGAGAAACTCCATTTTCTATCGTATACGGCTCGGAAGCTCTGATACTGGTGGAAGTGGGGGAGCCGACTTTAAGATTTTCCTGAGCAAACGAAGAGGCAAATAATGAAGCGTTACTGGTGAATCTGGACTTGCTTGAAGAACACCGAGACCTAGCATATAAAATAATGGTGGCTCAAAAGCAAATGATGGAAAGGTATTATAATCGCAGGGTGAATCTTCGTGATTTCAAAGTGGGAGATTTGATTTTGAGGAAGGTTACTCAGAGCACTCAGGAAGTCAACACTAGGAAGCTGGGACCAACATGGGAAGGTCCTTACCAGATTATAGCTATCACCGGTAAATGATCATATGAATTAGAAAATCAAGATGGAGTCAAACTACCATCAATTGGAATGTGACTCACCTCAAAAGGTATTATTGCCGATGATTTCTGCCGACGCTGAAAGTATGTGCTGCACTATTTTTTCCTTTGACCAGTTTTTTCCCAATTGGATTTTTCTGGTAATGTTTTTAATGAGGCAGCAACAAAAATCATACTACGAAGGAAGCATCATCGACAAAGGCAAGACCTTTAAATATCAAGGCACTAAAATTCTCACATCGATGGTCAACAACTATGTGGATGGTTAAATAATCTTTGATTCGATGACAAGCCTCACCTTCCGTTATTAAAAAGGATTATTTAACCTTTCACAAGTTGTCTCTACCGATGAAACAACAATATAGATACAAGGCTTCCAGTGTTCGAATTCACATACTTTGCTTTTCGAACATTGGGGGGAATATTATCTGATACGACACCAAGAGTGCCACGAAAATCGGGGACTATAAAAATCAGGATTAATGTTTAATGTGGACCGGGGACTGAATGATCAGCTCCGAAGAAATAGGTTGTACAAGTTAGCCACATGTATTGGCAAATTTATTTACTTAAGAAAATGAATGCATGTGTACTTTTAAAGATAAAGGGAATAAAACAAAGTGCTTTTATTTTTATCTTATTTCTTGTGCAAATGACGAGTTAATTTTATCATTTGAAAGTTAACAAAAACTTCAAATGCTTGGGCTGGAATGAACATGAGACGTTCTCTTCAAGAGCACCGTAAATATAAGAGCCTTCTCTTATGAAACCCTCACAATAAAGGGTAGGTTCCTGAATAGATTATGCCCGAAATCAAAAGTTATCGGATGAAGAAATATACCTGAAGCTTTATCAATTAAACGAAAAAGGATATGTTTACACAACACTTAAGAAAAAAAATTCTTTTATTAAAGTTCCAAACCAAATAAAAGGTTTGGCATAATTACAAAAGATAAAGAAAAAGAGAGAAAAATTCTACATCATTCATTGCCACCAGAATCCAAGGGGAGAGAAGGGTCTATATTTCCTCCGGTAGAAGAAGGCGAATCCACTACCGGTCCACGGTCTTCATCTTCTTTAGTCTCCCCTTCGGTTTTCGAATACTCGAAGCTAGTATCCAAGGAGTCAGTTGCAGCGGGCCGAGCAGGAAGGCTTTCGCGAGCAGATAACTCCAGATCTCGGGCCTTGGCAATACAATTATCAATATCGGCAATGCCCACTTTGTCTTCCTCCAAAGTCTTCCTCTTTATATGATATATAACATAGGTCTTCTCGAAGACAAGGGAATCCTCCTGATCTTGGAGTTTTGCTTGGAGTTTATCAATTTCGGCCTGGAGTTTTTCTTTTTCAGCCTTCAAGGCTCTAAGGCAGGAATCAAGCTCAATGCTGGTAGTTGAGTGAAGACATTTTTTCTCCATGGCCCTCTTAAGCCTCTCATCCATTCTGGCTCTCTTCTCCTCGGTGGTATTGGCCTCCTCGATTTTGGAGCATAAGTTGGCCTTCAAGTTATTAATTAGTTCCTAGAAGACAGACTCGCGCTCGACAACGGTGATCAGATCATTGTGGAGTTCGGCCTACTTAGCCTTAGCCTCTTGAAGCTTTTCATGTAATTGGGCAGATTCTTGGATGTGGGCCAATCTATCTTGCTCAGTTTGCTGCAACCGAGCCTCGATCTCGCTCATCTGTTCAATTTTAGCCTCCAGTATCGGGAGGCGCGTGACCAGCTTATTCTTTCAATCCAAAAGTTGATCCCGTTCGAAAGTAAGTCCTTGTTTATCAAGAATCATTCTTTGCAGGCCCTCAAAATCAAGGAGGTTGGTCTAAAAAAGGTTAGGGTTAGAGTTAACACGGAAACATGTAAGAGATAAAGAATATAGACGGGAATTAGTATGATACATATGTCGCACTGTGCATGTTGTTATTTATTAGGCACTCCATAGAAAGGGATCCCATCTTATTCCAATCCTTCTACGAAGCCAGCGGCTTTAGATAATTAGCAAGCTCCACAGGCTTGGATAAAATATGACACTTTTTCAAAACCGAAAGAATGACATTTCGCCTCCCTCGAGGATCTTGAGAAGAGAATGAGTAATTATTTTCCAAGTTCCCATGGTTAGAGGACCTAGGGGGAGAATCATTCCTTTTGTAGGCATCTAGTACCGGTGGAGGCAACACAATTGGTACTGGTGGCGAAAGAGCAGCGGGTATTGATTGGTAGGAATCTGTCGGTGTAGAAGGAGAAGAATCAGTTATGGCAGAAGGGTTGATGGTTGTTGCTTGATCAGTGTTTGGGAGTAGAAGAGACTCAGGGTCTGAACTCCTTGGACCAGAGACAACAATAGGGGCCGGGAAGCGAGAATCAGCATTCTCGACCAGGTTTATCTCACCCCAAGGTTCCTGAATTTCCTCTAATAGTAGGTTTTGAAGCTCCCTCGGCTGAGCATCTACTTGAGCTGATAAAAATTCCTTTTTCCTTTAAAGGGGAGACTCTTCATCACTAGCTTCCCTTTCGTCAACGAGGACCACTGTGGCCGGCTCGGTTGGCGTATTCTTCACCCTTTTCTCCTGAGTCCCATACGAAGAAGAACATCTTCTCTTCGGTATCTTGCTCGTAGACTGGGGACTCCGAGAGGAGGCACCCTCAGCGAAGGCTCGGGCAGATCCACGAGCTCTGCTCGGGGCAAGGGCATTTTGAAATACCCTCCTAGCCTCCTCGGGATCATCTAGGGCGTCAACTTCAGGGCAGGTGATAGAATCCCTTGGAAGCCCTATGTAAGGCAAACATGGAGTTAGCAAGTTATTCATTAGATTTCTTGTGTTCGAACATGGATAAAATAAAAAAGGACTCTAGCTTACCATGATTCTTGTCCTTCCACCCATATTTAGGAGTCATTTGCTTCCACCGTCGGAATTCCTGAGTTGTAATGTCCAAAATTTTCTGAACCTATTGGTCTAGACCTTGAACCCATGGAGGTTCCCCGCAAGTAGCTGAAACGAAAGAAACAGAAAATCAACAAAATAGAAAGTTATCTTTTTACGAAGAAAGGAAGCAAATAGCTGAAGACTTACAAAAAAAGTTTCCACGACTCGGGAAAAGCTAGAGTTGTGGTCTGGATGATATCCCTGGTAGAAATAACAGCGAACCATTCCATCCATCCACGATTGTTGTCATCCTCTACGCTGGTAAGGAGAGTGTGGTGACCATGCTTGTTGAAGTTTAACACTCCCCTACGAAAAATCTTGGGAGAGTAAAGGTTTATCATATGTGCAAGAGTTAGGGTTTCCCCAGTTTCAGTGCATAACTGATGAAGGCAGGACACCGTTTGCTATATAGATGGGCCTACTTGTGCTAATCAGACATGATATCGGTGGCAAAATTCTAAAATTATTGGGTCGAGCCCTTCACTCAACTCCAAAGAGAATGGACCCAAGGTAAAGAGATACATATAGACATGTGTGAATCCCTCCTTGGAGTAGGTAACACGCTCTACCATATATGGGGCGAGGATTTCAATACTGGGGCAGTTGTAGCCTTCCTTCACAGTTGGTATACTTGAAAGGCGAATGTGTGAAGGGTATCTGTGAACTGGCCAAAATCGGTGGACTTGAGAAGTTGCAGGAGAGGTTTTTCTTAAAGATCGTTTGCAGTACTGCGATGAAATGGTATGATGGTATTAATAGTTGGAGGATCAGACTCAATGTCAGCCTCCTTGGTTTTGTTTTTCCTTCGAGCCTACACCGAGGAGAACATCAGTGTTTTTGAAGGAAGCAATATAAGAAGAAGAAGACATGGTGGTAAAAGATTAGCAAAGATATTCTTACTGAGAAAGCTGAGTGCTGTAAACAAGGCTCTAAGAAATTTCAGAGAAAGAGATGGATTGTGAGAGTAGTAAAAGTGAAGAGATAAAAATGATGAGTAGTAGAGAAGATATAGACGGCAAAAATCATGGTCATGATTACCTCGAAACCAGGCAAAATACCTGCTGAATCACGGGGTAATACATGTTCAGGGTATTAAATATGAAGAGATGTATGTCTCTTCAAATATTAGAGACCGTTCAGGAACTTTTCCGCCAAGAAAGGAATATTCATCTACTTCTCGGTAATATTGAGTTGCGTCACTAGAAAGTAAGGGGACTATTTGTGTGGGGTGAAATTGGTTGGTTACATGTGGTTGGATAGCGAGGTGACACGTGAAACCAAGAACAAGCAAAAGTTGAGTCAGTAAATAATTGACATCGGTTACGAGGTATATAACCGATACAGAGTGAATCCCGAAGTAAGCATAACAGATGGTGAAGATTCAGATGCTTGACATCGGGTAATACTAAATGAGCAGTCGTTACAGAGAATATTTATATTCAAAGCCAGCCGTTATGCACCCATCAATGACACTTTTATTCTCATTCAAGAAGAGCTTGATTTTAGAATCTTGTCTCCCTAGGAATAGCTATAAATACCAGATTGGAAACTCTTGTAAGGGATGATAGATTTCGCACAAAAAAGTTATAATATATTGTTTCAAGCTCAATCAAAAGCATTTTTTTTATCATTGTTTTATCATTGTTACTATTCTTGCTCTAGGGAAGACGAGCTCAGAATCGGGCTTTTTATCTTCCTTTTGATTTAAATCGCTAATCCTATTTTTGTTCTATCTCTTTATTATTTTCGGATCAAATCGATTTGCTTGTCTATAAATCACGTTACAAATTCAACTGTACC